GATTATTAATTTCATTCCCACATTTGGGATCTTTGGGATTTGTTTTTGAGTTCCTCTGTGTGCATTTTATCTCTGAGTATTCTTTGTAGTGTTAGCTTGGTGCTCATGAATACTTTGAGTCTTATCATGGAAAGCTTTATTTCCCCCTCAAATTTGCTGGTGTACTAACCTTGGCTGATGTATTAACCTTGTTTCCTTTTATAACTTGGAATATCTCATTCCAGGCCATCCTTGATTTTTAGGATCTGATTTGAGGTATTAGAAGTGAGCCATATTGGTTTGCCTCTAAATGTGACCTTTTCTTCTTGTGGTCTTTAATATTCTTTCCTAATTTTCCATGTTAGGCATTTTGATTATGATATGTCTTCTATAACTTCTTGTTTGAATAGGTCTATTTGGAGTCTTGCAAGCTTCCTGGATGTGTGTGTGTGTGTGTGTGTGTGTGTGTGTGCTTGCGTGCGCACCTCTCATTTATGATATGGGATAAATTTTCTATAACTATCTCCTTGAAAATTTTCTTTATTCCTTTAGCTTGTATTTCCATGTTGTATTCTATCCCAGTGATTCTCAGGTTTTGTGTCTTGATGTTGTCCCATATTTCTTTTATCTTCTGATTATGTTCTATTATTTTTTTCCCTTTATTATTTTGTGTACTCAAATTCATGTGTCTGTCTTTAGGGCCTGAAGTTCTGTCTCAAGGGCTGAAGTTCTATTTTCTACATGATCTAATTTGTTAGTGATAATTTTAAGTAAATTTTTAATTTGGTTTATTGTATCATTTTTATGAGTTCTGATTGTTTTCTTTTTACTATTTCTATTTCTTTATTGAAGTGGTCTTTCATCTCCTGTATTTTGCTATCTTTTTTCTTTCCTTAGTTCTTCCTTTAGTTTATTGAAATTAAAAAAAAAAATTTTTGTAGTTGTAGATGTACATCATTCCTTTATTTTATTTGTTTAGTTTGATGTGGTGCTGAGGGTGGAACCTAATGCAAGGCAAGCGCTCTGCCACTGAGCTATAGCCCCAGCCCTTATTGAACATTTTAATAATCAGTGTTTTAATAATCTTTCTCTGGGATTTTATCACATCACTATCAGTGGGATCCTTCATTGGGGAATTGTGAATTTTGGGGGGAGATTTGTTTGCTATTTCCTTATGTTTTCAGAGTTCTTGTACTTGTGATCAATTGAGATGGATTTCCTTTCCTCTTTTTTATATTTGTCCTTTTGTTTGTAATTATCTTTTTGTCTTGGAGGTCTTTGTTTTTGATATATGAGGAGATGTCAAAGGGTCAGACCTGAGTTTCCTAATTGTTCTTCCTTTGGTCCTTGTTTTGGTTTGAAGCTTTTGTCTCCTCCATTCTTTGAGTTGGAGAATGTCAATGCTCTGGTCAGGTTAAATTGTGTGTAGGGTGAGATTCACTGTTGCTTGTTTGAGATGTAGTTATTTCTCAGCTGCAGGATCTCTACTCTGTGATCTTGAAGTGTCACAATCTCTTTCCAGGCCCGCTTAGAGGGGGACTCAGGAGTGGTACTAATATCAGCAACAGATGTTCACCTTTAAGATAAATATCTGGTGTCTACTTTGACATCTGTAACACTAATTGCTGCATGTATAGGAATAATAGTGGGGTCAGCATTTGACCACAGTACCAATAATTAAAAACCATGAATTACATTTGACAGTAGGTTGTCCAGTATATTAATAGTCACACCAACTTGAATGGGGTAGGAATTACATAGTCTAATCATTAGTTTGTTTTTTTTTTTGGGGGGGGGTACCAGGGATTGAACTCAGGGGAACTCAACTACTGAGCCACATCCACAGCCCTGTTTTGTGTTTTATTAGAGACAGGGTCTCACTGAGTTGCTTAGCACCTTGCTAAATTGCTGAGGTTGGCTTTGAATTCCTTATTCTTCTGCCTCTGCCTCCTGAGCCGCTTGGATTACAGGCATGTAGTTTGGGTTTTTATCACTTCTATTCTTTGTATTAAAATGTAGCTGGAGATTAATTTGTGCATGAAGCCAGGTGTGCTGTCTTTTGGTTAATTTAGTTTAGCAATAGAGTTTCTATCTGTAAACCTGTAGTATCCCTATAGTTTCCTAGCACCTCACAGAGTAGGGCAAAACAAACGATATTAAAAACTAATACAAATAGTATACAGCATTAAAATAAATACCCTCTCTCTACTATGACATCTACAACATTAATTACCACAAAACCCAGGAATGGTGGGGTCAGTAATTGTCAACAATGAAAACAATAATCATGAACTAGATCTAGCATTAAAGCAAACAGCAGGTGTCAATTATGTCATCCATAGCAATAATGATTGCATCAGTATTAATAGTGGAAGCAGGAGTTATAGAAGCCAATTAGTTCCGAAAAATGGTAAAAATACAGTTAATTAGGGAAAAAGAAAAAGTGCTAGGAAGGTAGAAAAGAATGTACAATCTGAAAATGTGAATAGAGAGAATGCAGAAGAGATGTAGCAGGTGATATTTATAAGGAAGGAGGGGAAAATTAGAAGTAGTAAAGGGAGCGTGGAAAAGAGAACAATAGAATCTGGCTATTAGCAAAAGATAAGAGAGAAAGCCAAGAGAAACGAACAAATGAAAACCATATAAAACAAAGCAAAAATGTACAAACCAAAAACCCTAACCCTCAAAATACAAGGCAAGGAAAAATGACTACATTAAAAAATGCTAAAAATGAGGAAAAAAGGTGTTTGTATATATTGCCACTAACCAAGATTTTTAATGAAAAATGAAGGAAATGTCTCCACTGAGGTAGTCAAAATGTTTGAATATGGATGGTCACTGACTGTACCCAGCTGTCTTTCTTTCCATTTCTTCTTGAGCTGTGTACTGAAAGAAAGAGAACAGGAGTAGGGGTTGTTAACCCCTTCCTGTTTTTGCTTTGTTCTCTGAGCTGCCAGTTGGAGTGACCTAAGACTGAAGCTGTTTGCTTCCCTTCTCACTGGTATTGAGATGGGATGGATTAGGAAGTACTGTCAGTGGAGTTTTGTCCATATAGACCAGGTCTGTGCACTCCCAGGCTTCCACACAGTTCTGTGAGGGAAGTTCCATCAGGTGTGGCTTAGGTCTAAACAGGCCTCAGGGGCTTTGTTGGGTGGTTTCTGTTTCAACACACCCTGAGGGCTTGACGGTGGCTGATCTCTGATGGCAGTCTGAATCTCAGAGCCTCTCAAGAATTCCATTCATGGGGCAGGGGAACTAATCCTCTACTCCCAGTGCTGCCCACAAACACAACCTTCCAGGAGTTAATCCCTGAATCTATTCACACTCACCTGTTTAGATTTTTGACTCACTTCAACTAGTCACATGAATTACCAGACTCAAAGGAGAAGTGAGTTGGGCTTCTCTTTGGTTTTCTAACTTGACTCCCCCTGGATACAGTCATTTTTTGTGCCTATTTCACGTACATTTTGCTAGGCCACTACAAGGCAGTAATTGCAGTGATTGCTCTAATCTCTCAGCTGGCTCCTGCAGCAGCAGCTACCAGCAAGGCTGCCTCAAGATGGCTCCTGCCTCAGCTCTCCTTGACCAGTTGAGAAACAGTGATTTTCAAGCACCAGTGCATGGTGTAACCTCTGGATCTGCTAAGCTCCAGCTGCTTTTTTTTTTTTTTTTTGATCCCAGGTTTTCCCATAGCAAATCTGTTTCTCTGTGTTCTCCTTCCTTCGTGATGAATTAGATAGAGCCTCTATTGCTGCTGCACTGTGCTGGTGCTACAGAAGGCTCAACTTTAATTCTTTCCTTTTTGTTTGTTGTACCCAAACTTCTGAGCCCCTAAGACACTTTGAATGTTCAATATTTAATTTTAGTGAAATCCATCCTTCATCCACTTCTCTGAGAAGCAGTACTCCTCTTGCTTGAATCTTGAGCCACAGAACAACTAGGAGTACAGCCTTCATCTACTCCCTGTATAATGTTGATCAAATTTCTTAACCTCTCTGAGTCTCAATTTGCTTATTTGAAAAATAAGGACAGTAACGATATTTATCTCAAAGGGAATATGTGAGGATAAAATGGGTTAATGCAGTACTTGAAATGTTGTCTGGTATATAATGAGTACCCTATACTGAATTTGGTGATATATTGTGTTTCTATATTTTATTTTGCTGTTCTGTGCATATTTCAGCATCTCTGAACTTAAGTGTCTTATGACTGATGGCATGTCAGAGTTTAGATTGCATCTTTTTTCTTTTTTAGTTATATATAAAATAATGTGTTGGGTTTTTTTTTTTTTTTTGACAATTAGTGATACTTTAGATTTTGATGAAGTATCATATGGGGTATTATTCCTGCCTTCTGAGACAGTGAAGTTGTTTGTATTACTAAGGGCAGCTTCCAAGATTATTTTCTGACCCCATGTCCTTTTTTCCTTTAATCCTTAAAAGCAAAAGGCAGATTACACATTCTTTTTAATACTTTCTCTTCTAGAGCAGTCAGACTCCAAAAGAGTATTGATAGGGCCCCTGCTATTCATGAACATGTCATCTCCATGACCTTGAAAATACTGTTTCATCTACTCAGAGCACCAACACTACACAACACATCCATCTCCAATGTTCTCCTCTCTGAGGAGGTCTTACCAAGTTCGTTCAGGCCCCCTCTCTTTTACTATGCCAGGTTGGTAAAACAACCTGGACACTCACAGATGATTTATCTCCTTCTGAGTACCCACTTGTGATCATTCATTTATATATCTGTCTCTGCTATTATATTATGAACAAATTTTTTGTCTTGCCCATTCACTTTCGTCTACCAATGTGGAACACTGCACTCCTTGCTCAGTGTCTAGCCACTGAATAGCAGCTGGCTAGACACTGAGCATGAAGTGCAGTAAGCATTCAGTGAGTGAGGAAATGAGTTCATGGTTTGGCCTCCCCTTCAGCCCACTCCCACTCGGGACCCATGACACTCCCAATATGTTTCTTTTTCATGCATCCCCTAACACCAGACTCTCCTGTCTCCAGAATCCAAGCTGGGCAGCACGAGGAAGGATATTCTTGCACAGGTTCAGAATGAAAGCCGGATCCGAAGTCAGAAACTAATGACAGAGCTCGCAGATTTCGTGCAAGTGTTCCAAATCATCAACTCAGACATTCATGCCATTGCCCGGTGCTGCCAGAAGGTAGGTTCTTCCCATCTGTCTGTCCCAGCTTATCCAAGGCCCATCCTTCCCAGAAGCTCAGGAAACTCTTCAGGTCTCTGCTGAACTTCCTAAAGGGCTTGATGTTCTTATGTATTCACATAAATGATCTGTCTTTGCTAATTCTTGCCCTGTTCACATGGCACATAGTTTCCTGGTGTCGGGAGGAGATACTAGTGTAAGGAAAAAGATAGGATCTTGCTTTCAGAGATATTGTTCTGCTCTCTGTGACAGCTAGTCAGATAGGACAATGTTGCCCTGTCATTAGGGTTATGATCTGGTGGGTAAGAAACTGCCTCAGAGAGTCCTGGGTCAGAGGGGGATCTGATCCCATATTGTCCCTGATTCCATTTGTTGAAAGGCAGCAGCTTGTCCTAAAGCCTCTACTCCAGAAGGCAGGAATGCTGTTTGAGGATGGGCCTAAAGAGTTTCACAGGGTTGTGGGGGTACTGGTCTCATACTGTAATCCCTGCAGTTGAATGAAGCCAATGAACAGTACATCCAGCTGGAGGAGAGAATGGAATATATCCAGTCACTCCTGGAACTCATCCGCAACCATTTTAGCTTCTATAGTGCTGAGAATGAGAAATTGGACATCTCGGTAAGAGGGCATTTCAGGGAGTCAACCATCCCACCTGGTCCCCATCCTCCACAACCACGTCTATGCAACTTCCCTCTGCTTGTTCCACAGCTTCTGGATATGTGGGAGGCATTTCAGTTTGAGAGAAGCCAGGCCTCAGAGATCCTGCTCAGCAAGCAACATGCCATTGTGCCCAAGCTACAGCAGCTGATGGCAGCAGCATTGGCAGAGTTAGAAGGTCTGCTGCAGAAAGCCCTGTCTGGTCCCTTCATGGACCCTGAACAAGAGCAAAGGAGCATTGAGAACCAGCTTATTGCTTTGGAGCATCAGTACCAGGACACAGTCATCCGCCTCAATGAACTACACCATGCCTATGTGACCTTCACTGGTACTGAGGACCGGCCCCCCCCCCCCCGCCCCATTGTCCCATGATCAGTCTCTAACTGAGATAAGTTGGGACTCAGTCATATGTCCTGTGTGATTCTAAGCAAGTCTTAGGAATCATATACCTTCATTGGTCTCTTTTATAAATGAACAAAACCTTCATATATTGGGTATTTTAGGTATTGTACTTAGGTGGGAATATAGAGGGCTCAGTCTGGTAGGGAAGGCAAACAGTTGAATGTTTCATTAGAATGTGACGGAGCTAAATACTGTGCAGGAGAATTTTGTGCCATCACTGTAGAACTAAGCCTTTGTGTAGTTTTGTTCAATGTAGTTCTATATGAAGGAGCAGCCCCCCCCCAAAGGAATAATGTCTTTTTATATATTTTTTTTAGATATATATGACAGTAGAGTGTATTTTGACATATTATACATACATGGAGTACAACCCATTCCAATTAGAGTCCTACTTTTGTGGTTGTACATGATGTGGAGTTACGCTTTGTGAATTCATAAATGAGCAAAGGAAAGTAAAGTCCAATTCATTCTACTGTCTTTCCTATTTCCATACCTTTCCCTTCCCTTCATTCCCCTTTGTCTAATCCAGTGAACTTCTATTCTTCCCTCTCTACCCTCCCTTTTTGTGGGTTAGCTTCCACATATCATAGAACATTTGGCCTTTGTTTTTTGGGGGACTGGCTTGTTTCATTTAGCATGATATTCTCCAGTTCCCTTCATTTCCTGGCAAATGCCATAATTTCAATCTTCTTTAAGACTGAATAATATTCCATTGTGTATATGTACCACATTTTCTTTATCAATTCATCTGCTGAAGGGCACCTAGGTTGGTTTCATAGGTTACCTATTGTGAATTGAGCTGCTATCAACATTGATATGGTTGCATCACTACAGTATGCTGATTTTAGGTCTTTTGGGCATAGACCAAGGAGTGGGATAACCAGATCAAATGGTCATTCCATTCCAAGTTTTCTGAGAAATCTCCAGCTGCTTTTCAGAGTGGTTTCACCAATTTTCAGTCCCACCAGCAATGTATATCTTTTCCTTCACATCCTTGCCAACATTTATTGTTGCGTGTATTCTTGACAATCGCCATTCTGACTAGAGTGAGATGGAATCTCAGTGCAGTTTTAATTTGCATTTCTCCAATTGCTACAGATAATTAAATATTTTTTCATGTATTTGTTGACCAATCATATTTCTTCTTCTGTGAAGTGTCTGTTCCTTTGCCTATTTATTTATCAGTTTATTTGTTTTTTCAGTGTTAAGTTTTTTTGAGTTATTTATATATCTTGGAGATTAATGCTCTCTTTTAAGTGCAGGTGTTAAAGATTTTCTCCAATTCTGTAGGATCTCTCTTCATATTCTTGATTATTTCCTGCCGCTTTCCTGGCGACTAAACACTCAGACCTTTTAGCCCACCCAGGGACATCATTCCCCGGGTTTCTTGCACCTAAAACACTCAGGGGTCACTCCAGGTAAACTGAAATAACTGGGCCCGTGAAATAACCACACAAGAGACAGAAATACCTTTTTCTTTGGGGGTGTTGTGACAGCTTCTCTGACCTTAAGGGTCTGCAGAAAGGGAGAGAGAGAGAGCCCACACGTGCTGACCCCTTTTATTCAGGAGAAGCTATTCAAATGAGGCAAGGAGTCAGGTTTCAGGGGGCTAAGTCTAGCTTCATGATGTCTGCTGTCAGCAGTTGACTGACATCTAGGAAGGCCACACCCAAGGGCAGAGTAAGAGAAGGGAACACAGAAAGGGGGTTTCCATGGAACATTCTATCCCAAACAGGGCAAGGGGTAATATTACAAAGGAATAGGTGAGCATAGCTCCACCCATGGGGCTGTAGGAAGGCACATCCATGCATGAGACACAGTCGCTGGAACCCTAGAAGACCTGGGCTATCCAGCTGCCACACCTTTCAGCAGAGTCAGACCCAGTCACATGCTGGTTTGGCCTCCCACAGTTTCCTTTGCTGTGAAGAAGATCTTAGTTTGATACCATCTCACTTATTGATTCTTGATTTTACTTTTTGTGCTTCTGGCGTATTATTGAGGAAGTCGGTTCCTGAGCTGAGGTGATAAACATTTGGGCCTACTTTTTCTTCTATTAGATGTAGGGTCTCTGGTTTAATTCCTAGGTCCTTGATTCACTTTGATTTGATTTTTGTGCACGGTAAGAGATAGGAGTTCAGTTTCATTCTACTACATATGGATTTCCAGTTTTCACAGCAACATTTGTTGAAGAGGCTATCTTTTCTCCAATGTATGTTTTTGGTGCCTTTGTCTAGCATGCGATAACCACATTTATGTGGGAATGTCTCTGTGTCTTCTAAAGAACGACGTCTTGATGTTACAGTAGCCAATATGGTCTAGAGGGAAGGCTGCTGAGGGCCTCACCAGCCCACCAAATAGGACAGATGTGTTGATTTAGCCCTTCTATACAGTCGAGCAGGTAGGCTAGTTCCCATCTGTAAAACAAAACAAAACAAAAACAAAAACATTATGGGCTGGAGTTTCTTTTTTCAGATTTATCTCTTGGAAAGACACATTATTTGTGAGTTGCTCCTTGGCCAACTACCAACTACTACCATATCTTCCTGTGAGCATCCCCAATCTCAGGGCTGTTTGGTCAGATAAGATAGAGAACACTCTAGAACCACTCTCAAGCTTCTTTAGCAGTATAGTGAGAGGCCCTTAGCATATACTCTTACCTGATGTGGACCACAAACCTTGACCTTTTCTGAAAGGGGCTGGGATAATTTGTGAAAAATCACAGTAGAGAATTCAGGCCTTGTGGTTTTAGGCCCAAAAAACCCAACAGCATTGCTTTTACTTCTTTCCTCCATCCCTATATCCTCACCAAACTCCCAGTTAAAATGACCTAGGATTTTAGATCCAGGTGGTTTAATAACTACCCACAAACTTTAAATCATGGTTCTTCTATTTTAGTCATTACTTTTAGAATTTGCTTTATTTTATAACCATGTGAACAACTATTTTGACATATGAGGTTTACTGGTTTTGTTTACTTACTACCATTTATTTTAAATACCACATCTTTTAATTCCTTCCTCAGATGGCTTAGAATATTTCTCTGAGTATTTTTTCAAAGAAGGGAGTTGTAGACATTAAAATTGTTGTGCTCCTTATATGCTGAGAATGACATTAAAATGTCACAACTTAGTTAAATATTGACTTTTGAAATCACAGATTTGTTTTCAAACTTTGATACTGAATCATTGACTTCCAACATTTAGCATTGGATCAGATATATCTGGTATCAGTCTGATTTTTCTTTTGTATCAATTTATCAATTCCTTTATAATTATATGTGCTATGGTCTCTTTATAGAATTTTTTACTGTATGTTGACTTTACTAGATCTCTTTCATTTATTTTCTTCATTCTCACACATTCTTTTATTCCTTTCCTCTGAGTTCTAGATAAAAGTTATGAGCTTGTATTATAAACTTCTATCTTCTATGTATCTAGTTTATCTTTTTCATTGTATTTTAAAGTACCCACTTATTCTGTATGTATGCATGCTTATGTATACATGTTCATGAATGCAAGTGGGTGTTTATGTGTGTGTATACATGCTTATGTATCCTAGCTATATTTGCTGAAGATGACAAAAGCAAAGATACTCCACTAGCAAGAGCCACGTTGTGCTCAGATCTATTTCTAATACTGTTTCCCACTGAAAGGAACCAGGGCTACTCAGAGTAATGGATGATTCTGAGAACTGTGGTAGGGAAGGTACAAGATGAGTCTGGAGTATCTTTTATACCAGAAAGTAAGGAAGTGTTAGATTAACAAAGTGATGGTAGCTTGTCACAAGGATATGGGAGGGATGTCAACAGGCCAAATCTGAGACAAACTGAGCAACTAAGTAATATAGTAACAAATTCTAAATTATCAAAAAACTCCAGTAATTTATTATACATAGTAATATTAAATAAGTAAATAAAGATAAATAAGTATAGATTCGTGCTTACAGTAGAATACCAAGAGCTAACTGGCAAATGTGAAGAGAGGGCTGGAGTGGTAACATTCTGTAACTGTTACTGGAGTAAAGATCTGGTTAATCAAAGCAAAAGACAAAGGGTTAGCTGGGTACATCAGTACTCACCTGTAATACTAGTGTCAGGAGGTTGAGGTAGGAGAATTTCAAGTTCAAAGCCAGCCTGGGAAACTTAGCAAGACCTTATCTCAAAATTGAAAAATAAGGAGGGTTGGGGATATAGGTCAGTGGTAGAGCACCGTGGGTTCAATTCTCAGTAATAGGGGAGAGGGGCTTAATTTGTTGAGGCAGGGAAAGTTACTATTAGAAAAGCCAGCTCAACAAGAAGAAAGAGGACTACTATTACAGAGTCATTCTTGCTAGGAGACTGACTGAGTATGGCTTATATTGGTGGTTGGTGGGTGTGCCCAGACTGGTGAGCACCTTCCAGCTTCAAGAGGGCTGGATGATACATATCTTATCCTGATTACTTAGCCATGAGGTGTTTTCGGTTTCTATAAGTCTCAAAAACAAAGACCATTATTTCTTTTGTCGGTTCCTGCGCTGATTAGCTACGTATTTATTATACAATGGACCAGAAAGAGATGGGGATAACTACCCCAAGGTCCTCTTGACTGTCAAACTCTTGGTAAGGAAAGAGAACATCCTTTCTTTATACACACTATAAACTCCTGGCAATTAAATTAAAACATCCTTCCTCAGCTATGTGAAACAAAGGCACAAAAACATCCCAATGCTTGATTTCATAGACCATCATAATAAATATTGGATCAAGTAAGGATCATCAATGGATGACAAATCTGGGGCAAGTTTGATGAGGAGCAGAATTAAAACCATTTTAGAGTCAAGCCTGAAGGACTGAGGAAGCAAAAGAAACAGTAATTAATTAGTGGAGAAATTCAGCAATTTAATCAAAATTAAGATCACCAGTGAAAAGCAGGCATATGTCTCCTGATATCATACAGGAAGGAGGACACACATCACCTATGCTGTGGTGCAGCTGAGAATTGAATAACATCATGAAAAAAAATCATAAAAATACAGTTTGAAGAACTTTCTAGTAACAAAAAAAGGAAGAATGAGGACTATATGGTATTTCAAAAATGTTTGTTACAAAAGACAAAAACTATGGAAATGTTCCAGATTTAAAACTTAAAAGACATGACAAATAAGAGCAATATTTGACCCTAAATTATATATTATACCTGAGGGGAATCAGTGCTATAGAGAATATTATTAATTGACAAAATCGGAATGAGGAATATAAAAATATTGTAGTTGTGATATATTAATTAATTAAAATTAATTTAACTCAATAACTTAGTAAGGCCCTAAGCAACTTAGTGAGACCCTGTTTCAAAAATAAATAAATAAATAAAATTAAAAAGGCTAGGGATGTAGCCCAGTATTAGAGTGCCCTTGAGCTTAATCCCCAGTAAAAAAAATTAATTTGATAATCATCTTATGATTATATAAGATAGTATTCTTATTCTTAGAAAGTACACACTTTGGGCATACATTTTGGGATAAAGGGATAGCCAAGATTTATGTAACTTCTCCTTAAATAGTTCAGAAAAAAAAAATTGTATTTGTGTTATCATGCCCATATACATAGAGAGCATGTGAACACAAATAATAAAGTAAATGGTTAAATTTTAATAAGTCTACCCAAAATTATTCACTTGAGTATTTTTCCTTGTAAAACTGAAATTTTTGAAATCCTTTCCAGATAAGACATTTTAAAATGCAATGGAAATTACTGAATAGATAATATGAAAATGTTCACAGAAAAAAGAGAGAGAGAAATGTGCTAATTCAGTAGCTTGTGAGATGAATGGAGGAAATAATTGCCAATGGCAAACACAATAAGGAGCTTCACTATTTATCCCTATGCAGGCCAGATTTTCTTTCATAGTTATCTCCCTGGACTTGCCTTAGGCTATTCATTCACTTATTCATTCACTCAGCAGATATTCGTTATATGCCTGCTGTGTATAGGCTTGAAGTACATTAAGGAACAAATGACAAATCCCCATTTTAGTCGGAAGAAAAAGACAACAAATAATAAACATAAGATAAAACTAAATTATGTAGTGTATTAGAAAGTGATAAGTGATCCAGGGAAGAAAAAAACTGTTGAGAATGCTAGGAAGGGAAGATAGCAGTTTTTATGGGACAGTTACATAGTCCTCATCATGAAGGTGCTATATGAGCAAGGACTTGGAGCTGGCATGAGCATGAGCTGTGTTATTCTCTGAGGGAATAGTGTTCCAGGAAGAATGAACTATAATCTCTCTCTCTCTCTCTCTCTCTCTCTCTCTCTCACACACACATACACACACACACACACACACACACTCTCTCTCTCTCTCTCACACACACACACACACACACCACTTTTTTTCTGATATTATGAGCTCTTGACTGACTATTCCCCAACTAGCTCAGGTCTTAGCCAGCCCTATTCCACAGGAGATGACAGTCCAGTGCCTCTGCCAATCTGTGGGACTCGTCCTATCATACTGCAGCAACGCATATGGCATCTGTACCGAGTGATCTCTGAAAACATCAGTGAATGGAAGTGCATGGCTTTTGACAAGGTGCTAATACACCTCCTTAGAAGTTTTGCCTGGGAATAAGGATTGCAAGGGTGGGGTTAGAGGAGGGTTTCAAGCTGAGAGTGAGCCCTTTTTCCTTTAGTTCAACCTGTCTATGGCCCGGGAAAAGACAAATAGCTGGCTGACAGAGGCAGCACGGATTAGCACCACCCTGGGACTGCACAGTCCAGTGCTGCAACGCTGCATGCGCATGCTGGAAGAGTTCCGTAGCTATCTGCCCTTGCTTACCAAACTGGGCAGTTTGCAGCTGCAGAACCCTAACTACCAATCCCTCCTGAGAGGTATGTTTGGTTAGAGTCAGAGGGGAGAAGAAAGTGGGGATGCAGAGTATAGAGCAATGCAACAACTTAATTCTTCGTTGTTTTTGCTGAAAACATCTTTCCTCCCTAGATTGCTCCCCGCTTTCCCCCCAAATACCATAATATTCTTTCTCCAACAGATAAGAAAATTCTCATCTCCTTTCTGTAGGCTACCCTTTGCTGACTTGGAGGGGATGATAGTGGCTGGGCTTTGCTTGGGGTCTTGGTTCTGAGCTCTGTACTGTGCTTTGCACCTTGGGTTCTGAGCTTTTGTGCACTAAGATCCGCAGTCTGGGCTGGGCTCTGGGTCTTGCATCTGGACTTACGGTAGAATTAAACTCTAAAACATGGGTGGGATTCTGTCACATGCTGGGTGTTCTTCTGACTTGTCTCTTCTACCTCTAGCTTTAGGGCTGAACATTCACAATGTGGAACTCCTAACACTGCGCCAGCTGCTCGCTTGTCCGCTGCTGGAGTTTGCAGATCGAATCAACCAGGTGGGGGTCCACAGGAGAGAGTTAAAAGAGGTGGTCCAAGCCCAGTACCTGTAATAGAGTCAATCAAGGGCTAGTAGTTCCTTGAGACTCAGGGGCAGTAGATGTTGGCATGTAAGAACAAGTCCTTAAGTCTTCAGATGATCTGATGGGTGAATCTAGACACTATATGACTGAATGTTCTCCCTAGGAGAAGGAAATGGGTAGCAACCTCTAAGTGGTAGGCACACAGAACAGCAGATGTCCCCTAACATTTACCCTGTCCCAAAAGAAAACAAGCTGATCAAAGTATTATCTGCTCAGTGAGATCCTTGCACAAAGGTAGGTTTTAACCTATCTGGGCTATCTTTGAAGCCTGATGGTCTCACTGTTCCTCCATCTATGAGACTTTTACTTCCTGAACCCTGTCCCTTGAGTTTGTCTCAGACTCAGTCCCTAAGTCCTTGCTTTAAAGCTTTCTCCTCAGCCATCTGCCAGTCCTGGCATCTGAGACCCAGGTGTTCCAGGTCTGGCAGTGTGAGAATGAACGAATTCATGCACAAGAGAGCCTGAAACAGCTGCAGAAGTACTGGGAAACGTGCCATTTACGCCTGCTCAACTTTATCCTGCATGTACCCTATGAGCCCCCAGCCTCAGAGCACTCTAAGAGGCAGGCCCTCCGCAGCCCCCAGTGGGAAATAGTGGGCAAGGACAGTGGCACCTTCATTCTTTCAGGTGAGACTCAGCTCTTGTGACCTCATGAATGCCTTCTGCCTGGGACCATTTTCATCTATTACATCTACCAAGCCCTGCCATATCTAGTTTCTTTAGCTAGGGCCCAATCATTACTGGGTAGCCTGAGGGATCAGTCTGTTCTGACAATTTGTCTTCCATGTAGCTCTCATACTCTTAATCTCCATGGGATATCTGTCCCCTGCCTACACACACACACACACACACACACACACACACACACACACACCTTCCCCCTAGCCAAGGCCTGGCTCCTTCAGAGATGGTACTTTCTTTTCTGGATGTAGTAAAAAATAACCATTCCTCGTGATTATTTTGTCTTTCAATGCTTTGTCCTCTAGATTGCACCCTATAATTCATCCTCATTCACTCCTTCTTTCTTTCACTCATACTCTCATTAAACTTACCAGCCTCCTCTGTGCCAAACACAAGAGACTCTGAGGTTTACAGAGAGTAGCCCTGTCCCATGGAATAATGCCACCTCAGCTTTTCCTCCACAGACTACAGTAGCTTACAAGATTCTATACATGGAAGTCTTCAGACGTTGTTTAAGATACTGGCCATCCAAAAGTCAGGAGACTTACACAAAGTAGCTTTGGAGTGGGTGACCATCATGAATAGTCTGAGTGAGTGCAGGCCTTTAGCTGGGCTGATGGATGGAACCTGAGGTGGGATGGCCAAGAGGGATGGGGGTAAGAGGTGGAGGCTGAATGGAGAATATCTGAAGGACAGATTGAGAATCTCCTTCAGAGATATTTCTTCACATGGGGTGACCAGGTCTTTATTTACAATGAATGTTTTATTTTCCCTAACAAGGTCCCTGGGTCCTGATGAGTAGAGTATTTTGGTTGGGCTTATGGGGGTACCCATGAGGCCAGGAGCAGGCTGGACCTACTTGCAGAAGCTAGTACTCTAGTGTCTCTCTCCAGTATCCCTCTGGCTGCTTCCATAGGTGCCCTGCTAGAGGTGTGGGTGATGTTCCAGCAGAAGTGGATTTTTATAAACAAAGTTCTACATGAAATGAAGATCCAATTTCCCAGTGCTGATCTGGTAGGGAGTGGAGTCAAGGCAGAGTGGGCAAAGGCTCCTGAATAGTGGTGGAGTGGGGAGTTGCCATTTCACATTTACACTCATTTTTTACCCTCTCCTTCACCACAGAATGTTCGTTTCAAGGTCATGGATGATCAGTATCGGACCCTGATGCGCATCTCTATAGCTGACCCCATGGTTCTGTCACTTATAATGCCCAGTGCCAAAAGGAGCCCTTATTTCCAAGGCCAGCATCTACAACAAATGCTGCAAGCAGGATCAGTGGAGCTGGAGAGCATCATCATGGCTCTAGAGAGTGTGCTCTATGGTGTATGTGCCCAATTCCCCCGCCTTTTCTTCCTTAGTGATAGTGAACTTGTGGCCTTGCTAGCTGCCCCTCTAGAGTCATGTGAAGCCCAGTTGTGGGTCAAACGCTGCTTTTCTCATGTGCGTGCTGTGAACTTCCAGTCCATCCCCCAAAATAATGAGAAAAACATGGATGACCAGGAGTCAAGTCCAAACAGACAAACTCAGGTAGAGACACTGGCTGTTCTAGGGGAAGGTGGGGAGGAAGTGAAGCTGCAGCAGCCCCTTCTTCTGCATCCAGATCTCCCCAAGTGGCTGGCCTCTTTGGAGAAGTGTCTGCGTTTGATACTAGTGCACAAACTGCAGGATTGTGTGGCTGCCCGCCTTACTCTTGTTAAAGGTGAGGCCTTTAACAAGCTGCCTCAGCAAAACCAGTTGGCCCTGCAACTAAATGTCCAACACTGGCTAGATTTAATCCAGGCCTTCCCATGGCAATGTATACTGATAGCAGAAGAAGTGGTGTGGCGAGCTGAGATGGAGGAGGCTGTGCTTGAGTGGGGGACCCTAGCCATGACTTCCAGGCATATAGGCAAGCTAGAGGTACTGGTGCAATTTATACGAGCCCAGAGGAGCTCCAAGGGTGGACAGCCTCTGCCCTCTGTCCGCCAAGCCAGCCTGTTTAGTGCTCTACTGGTTATGGCAGTAACTCACCGGGATATAGCACAACTGCTAGAGAAGCATCACGTCAGTGATCTGACAGACTTTCATTGGGCCCGCCAAATCAAGTATCACCTGGGTTCACCTCATTTGATCCCCAAAAGTCCCCTGCAGAGTCTTATGACTACTATATCTAAGGAATCCTCTCTGACACCAGCTGCATGCTGGATAGATGTGCTGGGCCGGTCCTTCCTATACAATTATGAGTACTTTGGTCCCAGACTGAGGCCACTACCCAGCCTGCTGCCTGAGAGGCCAGTGCTGGTTCTATTATTGGCCCTGGAGGAGGTGGCTTGTGGGACTCTACTGGGCCCTGATGGTGTGGGTAAGACAGGGTTGGTGAATAGCCTGGCACAGGCTCTTGGCCGCCAGCTGGTAATGATGCCCTGCTTGCCTCAGACAGAAGTCCGATGCCTGAGCAACTACTTGAATGGTGCCCTGCAGGGTGGTGCCTGGCTGCTATTGGAGGCAGTTCACCACTTGCCTCCTGGCTTGCTGTCTGCCCTGGGCCAGCGCCTGGCTGAACTGCAATACCTCTGTGCCCCACTGTACCAGGAGGCTTCCCAAAGCACCAGCACCATAGATCCCACTAAGCCTCAGCTTCTTGGCACTGGCTTCTTTGAGAAACATCATGTGTCTGTATGCTTCGGCTACGGCTGTCTCCTGACACTGCGTGCCCTGAGCCCTGTTGTACCTGCCAACCTGCACCTGCTACTGAGGCCTGTGGCACTAGCACTGCCTGACCTACAGCGAGTAGCAGAGCTGACCCTGCTGGGTGCAGGTGTGCGTAATGCCTCACTCATGGCTACTCGCCTATCCAAATTCTTCTCCTTAGAGCGTGAGCTGGTGTCTGGGCATCTGCCCTGCCGCTTGCCACTGCTCAAACAGATACTAGAAGATACAATACAGACACTAAATGAGACCAATAAGGAGGAAGTTAACTTCCAGCATTCCAGCAGCCAAGTAGCCATGGAAGAAGCTGCCCTACTGCGTGCCCTGCTACACTCACCACTGTTCAGCATCCTTGATGGGCCCCACTTACACAACCTCCAAGAGCTGCTCAGTGGCATTTTCCCTAGTGCTAGCCAAGTGTTAGCAGAGCCTATGGTCCACAGGCTGATGAAGCCATTGGTGGTGGAGGAACTGCGGCAGGTAGGACTGTATCCAGGCTCTGACATTTTGGGGTCTCTGGAGCAGCTGAGTCAGGCCCTGAGCCGGGCCTCAGGCATTCTCCTCCTGGGCCCTGCAGGCAGTGGAAAAACTGCTTGTTGGAACAGCTTATTTAAGATCCAGAATCGGCTGGCAGCTATGGAGAATACCTCAACTCAAGGCTGCCAACCTGTAGAAATTACTCACCTCTACCCCAGTGTTCTAAGTTCCCAGGAGTTTCTAGGAAACCTAGAGGGCCCCTGCTGGCACCATGGTGTCTTTCCCAGGCTGCTTCGTGCCCAACCTCGTTGTAATAGCATGGGCCCAAAGAAGCAGGGAGAGGAATTGATGGGGATGCAGCACTGGATAGTATGTGATGGGGCCTCTAGTGCTGCTTGGCTGGACTCCGTTACTTGCCTCCTGAGTGACTCTTCCCAGCTTAGCCTCCCCAACGGTCAACAGATAGCACGACCCCCAGGTACGTTTCTCTTGATGGAGATAGCAGATGCAAAAGGCATGTCCCCAACAGTGGTGGGCCATTGTGCTCTAGTCTGGTGTGGTGGGGAGCAGACTTGGCAGTGTATGCTTAGCATCTTGATGACAGCCCTGCCCCATGAATATCGCTTGCAGTCCCAGACAATCACTGAGCTCAACCACCTGGCTGAAGTTCTAGTGCCTGCAACATTCAGATTTCTTACCCGCAAGCATGCCAGTTCTCTATTGCAGGTACATGGGCAGCAGGCTGTTTGCCCAGGTGTGGCAGAAGTCACCAGCCTGGCACGTATCTTGCGTGGTCTGCTTGACCCCCACCTGCGCCTAGATGAGGAAAAGAAGGCACATTCAGGTGGGAAGATGGAAGGCTGATGTGAGAGGGACGGGTTCTTTAGGATAGCTGGGCTATAGCTGGAGCCAGAAATATGGGGTCTGGGTGGAGCTGGGCAGGAGACTAACAGTGAGAAGTAATATGGTCAACTTCTACTGCCCACCCCCTTCCCTGACTCCTACGTTTTGCCTACTTGGACTCCTGTTTTGCCTGTGGTGACCATTGCAGAAGACCTCAGCTCTAGTGATCCTGTGGCCCAACACTTAAGGTCTTCAAAAAGTGGCTCTCTGAACCAGTCCCAGGCTGACAGTGATGATATGACAAATAAGCACCGGGAGCACTTGCTGGTTGTCAGTAGCTTCCTTTTTGCCCTGATTTGGGGCTTTGGAGCCCACCTCCATTCCAGGTACATATAGGGGTAGTGGATGGGGGATGAAGAAGGCTGAGATGGACTCACCCATGACAGTTAAAACTCATATGACATCACTGTGGGTATATGGTATATTGTATGTGTCACAGATGGAACTGACACTTTTGCCTGTGTGTCCATCTGAGCAGACTTTGGCCCCTCTTTGATACCTTCATGAGGAGTTCTATTAGTTGCATCTCCAACTACCCTGAACCACCACAATCAGCCTCAGTGTTTGATCTACATGTAAACACCGAAGATGGGACACTGGTCCCCTTCAATGGCCAGTACCTGAGCAGTCGTGTCAAGGGAACTCTGGGCACCTTCTACCCATCTACCCAGGTATAAAGCACAGTGGGTCAGCAGCTAGGGTTGGGACTTGTGGCTACATTAGGAGCAGTCCATGTTGAAGGCCCATCTGAGGCCCTCTTGCTTCTTTTCTTTCTTTTGGTTTTTCTTTCTCCTCCTCCTCCTCCTTCTCCCCCCCTCCCCTCCCCCTCCTCTCTCCTCCTCCCCCCCTCCTCATCCTCTCCCCTCCCAGCCCCCCCACCCCCCTGGGTTGAACTCAGGAGTACTAGGGAGTGCTTTATCATGGATCTATATTCCCAGGCCTTTTTATTTTTATGTTTTTATTTTGAGATAAGATCTTGCTAAGTTTTCTGGTGATGTCACTAATTTGCTGAGGAAGAACTCAAACTTGCAATCCTCTTATCTTAGCCTCCCAAATTACTGAATTACAGGCATGCACAGTTGTGCCCAGCTCCCATTCTTTGATTTTCAGTTCATAAGAGAACACTTGTAATGTTCTCCAAGTACAGCTTTAAGATAAGCCCCCATAGAACTGTATTTTCAATGATAACTGCCCTATACCTTGCCTCAGTAAGCCTTGTTTCTGTCCTGCAGACTGAAAGGCTCTTATATGTGGTGGACCTGCTTTTGTCAAGGGGACAACCAGTGCTCCTTGCTGGAGAGGCAGCAACAGGAAAGTCAGCCTTTCTGGAGGCGCTTGTGGAGCCAAATCACTCTTACATATCTAGTAACATCCACCCTGCCTTCAGTTCTGCTCACCTTCGCCTCCTGCTGAGCAGAGGGATCCAGGGACAAGCACAAGCTAGTCCATGGCCCGGGCGTCAACCTGATAATAAAAGCTCTCTCCTCTTCCTGCTGGAGGATCTGCACCTGGCCACTTCTGGTGAGGAGCTGGGAGGAGGGAAGGAACTACTGTCATCTCATGAGACTATAAAATTCTTAGCAATATTAATTGGCTCTCAAATATGTGTCTGTAGTTCAAACTTCAGTGTTTCATCTTTTTTCTTTTTTTAATAGATAGACACTCTATTTATTTTTGTGTAGTGCTGAGGATCAAACCCAGCACCCTTGCACAGGCTAGGCAAGTGCTCTACTGCTGAGCCACAACCTCAGCCCTCAGTGTTTCATTATTAATATCTTATCATTCTACATATGTTCCCTGAGCTTCATGAGATTGGAAATTTGTCTAATTCATTTTGATATATCTGACGTGAAGTAAATGCACAATAAGAGTTTATAGAAGAGATAAAGGAAAGGAGAGAAATTATGATGTAGGTTTGGGATATTCAATTTTAAAAGTTCTAAAGTGTTATAGCTCCAGATGATGACATGTTCTAAATATGATCACAGGGATAAGTATAAGAGGTTTTTGAAGTCAGGGAAGTCAGTGGATCAAGGCATTGGATGGGTTTCCAGTCAAACACTGAAGTCCTTCATGGGATATATTAGTGCTTAAATAGTAGTAAAAGGTACAATTTACTATGTACTAAAATTTACAAGCTTTATATCTCATTTAGAGTTTGTAAAAACCTGGTGATATGGAATTTATTGATTACTTTCAAGATGAAGAATCTTATACCACATGAGCAGAATCCAAAGGAGATCTGCATCTGGTGTCTGGGCATCTGCCTTGTCGCTTGCCACTGCTCAAACAGATATTAGAAGTATCTAGTGTGGACCAGCAATTGCTGGGCTGTGCACTGATTTAAAATCTCTAGAGCAATTGTCATTCAGTGAAGAGATTGGAGCATACCTAAACCTAAACCCTGCCTCAAGGAGTTCGACCTCCAGGATTAACCCTCTAATCCTCGCAAACCACCCCCCAAGGGTGGAGCAAGCATCATACTCCAGATAACCCTACCTAACCTCAGAGAAAGGAAACTAGAATCTTTTGAACTCCAACAGAAACAATTGTTCAATTTTTCATTGGGATCCTTTTTTTCTTTTCTTTTTCTGTTTTCTCTTACATTTCTACCGTTTTTAAAACCAATTTTTTTCATGCATCAATTTATTGAGAACTAGGATTAGTATATTTCAGTTTTGTATTCTTTTATTTTTACTTTTTTCTGTTTTTAATTTTTAAAGCTATATACTATGTATATATTTTTCTCTTACTTATTCATGCCCCTCAATTCTCTTTCTCTCTTTTCTTCTGTTAACAGTCAACCTCTACTATTCTCTCTTCACACTTCCTGTAATTTTTTACTTCTATTTTCTCTCCTCCTCCCTCATAAACATCACATCCTACAACATTTCTGTTCTCTATATGTCCAGCATTTGAGATTGTAAACCTTTTTGCAAACTTACTGTTTTTATTGTAGTCAATAATTGATCATATTATTTCTGTTTATTGCAACAAAATTGTAGATGTCTTAGGAGGAGCTACTTGGTTTAAGGCTGTATATTGTTTGCATTGGTTGCTGTTATTTTTTTTTCTCTCCCCCTTAATGGCAAGGTACTGGAAACATTCAGGGACAATATAAGTCTACAGGGTAGAAACTGTACTGCCTCAGACCCATACTTATAGATAAGTAGCCACACAAACAATATGAAAAGGGAACAAATCCCCCCAAATGAAACCAAGATGCTACAATAATAGAATGCAGTCACACCTTAGTAGAAGAAATGTCAGAGAAGGAGTTTAGAATGTACATAGTTAAATTGATCTGTGAGGTTAAGAATGATGTAAGAAGTGGAATCAGAGAGAAAATTCAGGAGGTGGAAGATCACTTCAAGCACTAATCTGCAACATAAATAAAGAACTTAAAAAACTAATTACCAAAAAACCAAATAACCCAATCAATAAATGGGCTTCTTCTTCATAGTAGAAATCACAGTTGATCAACATACATGAAAAGAATGTTCATCATCTCTAGCAATTAGAGAAATGCAAACAAAAATTAAGATTTCATCTCACTCCAGTAAGAATAGCAATTATCAAGAATACAAGCAACAATAAGTGTTGATGAGGATGTGGGGGAAAGGTATACTCATACATTGCAAATTGGTGCAATCATCCTGGAATGCAGTATGGAGATTCCTCAGAAAACTTGGAATGAAACCACCATGTGACCCAGCTATACTACTCCTTGGTATATAACCAAAGGCTTTCAAATCAGCATTTTTCAGTGATGCAACCACATTTATGTTGATAGCAGCTTAACTCACAATAGCTAAACTATGGAACCAACTTAGGTGTCCTTCAACAGATGAATCAATAAAGAAAATGTGTGGGGGATCCAAGATGGTGGGCTAGAGTGAGGCTGCGTTCCTTGTTGCTCCATGACATGGGATTCAAACAGTGGGAATACTGTTTCTCTGCACGTTATTAGAGGATCCCCAACAGTTGCTCATGCACAGGACCCCCGGCCATCGTTCCTTGTGGACCCCCATCTACCAGCATGGGGCTCCCCTGGTTGCATCCATCTTGGGATACTTCAACTACTGCCACAGTCGCCTGCAACTGGGGACACCGGACAGGGTATGGAGACAGCTGCCAGCCATAACCCTGCATGCCACAGAGCTGCATCTTTGAACATGCTGCCTAACGCCACTGCCTGGCCTGACCTGACACCCTATCTCCGAAAGTAGCCGCCTCCATCTTGGGACACCTTTGTCGAAGACTTTGATTATCCTTGCTACCACCAGCACTATCTTTACTTGGGGCAACCCCCAGCTTGGGACACAAGCTGGGGCCTAGAAACAATATCAAGATACCTATAGTCTCTCAACTCTCCCCTCTCCCCCGCAGCTACTAACCTGGCACAGTGTTTGCAGCTACATGGCTGGTCCATATCTCGAAAAGACTGGTTCTGATCTGCCTGATACAAAACAGCTCTCTGTGACAGGTGCACAGGCCCCAGAGCACAGCCCACAAGACCTCCAAAGAGAAAGGCTCCTGATTGGGAAGTAGAAAGGGAGTGGTGAGTGAGATACAGTTTAGAGGCTAAAGTAGGGACCAGGAATTGTGAGGTCTACAGGCAATACAAGGAGATAAGACCAGGCACTCACATCATATGCGCGGGCTCCAAAGGAGATTCTTGGGGTACAATCTGTCAATAGAGATAGCAAGTGCTATATCCAATATCAAGGAATTCCGCCACTAAAACCAACTCTTCCACCATAAAAACCTTCACCACCCTGAGGGTGGAGATACCAGCAAATGACAGACAACTCCACCTATGGGATGAGAAGGGAAGCAGGAAAGATACTGAACTCTGACAGAAAAAAGCCTTTAATTTTTCGAGTTTTTTTTTTCTTTTCTCTCTCTCGCTCTCTCTCTCTCTTCTCCCATCCTCATATCCCCAACATTTGTGAAACCAAGTACTTTTCATGGATTAGGCTACTGGAATGTCTGAATAGTATATCATAGTTGCATTGTATATTCTTTTATTTCCTATTTTCACTTTTTTTCTTAATTTCTATAGTTGTTTGTTTTTTTTGTGCTCTCTCTATTGTATTTTTAATTACTTCTCTCCCAAATTCACTTTTTCTTATTTCTTCTGCTACTAGATAATTTCTTTTGATTCCTCTTACATGCTACCTAAGATCTGATAACTCTATATCCTCACCTCCTACCTCCTTAACATTTGATCCTACACTCCACCCCAGGTTCTCTCTTTGTCCACCATCAGAAACTGTAGACCCTTTTGCAAAACTACTGTATATATTATAGATAATAAGTGAACTCATCATTTTTGTATATTGTGACAAAATCATAAACGTCTTATTAGCAACTATTTGGTTTAAGGCTGTATATTGTTTGTATTGTGATCTGTTAATATTGACCTCCCCTTAAAGGAGAGGTATTGGAACCCTGTAAGGACCCTATAAATCTATAGGGTGAAAACTGTAACACCTCAGAACTGCAGAGCTAGAAGGGAAGACATACATAAACAACATGAAAAAACAAAGGAAGAAAGTGCCCCAAACAAACCAAGATACTACATTATTAGAATCCATGGCCAGCACAGGAGAACAAATGTCAGAGAAGGAGTTCAGGATGTACATGATTAAAATGTTCTGCAAATTAAAGGATGATATAAGAGGACAAATACAGGTAGCAAAAAATCATTTTGATAGAGAGCTACATAAGCAAATGCAGGAAACAAAGAAATTAAAGGGATACAGATAGGAAAAGAAGAACTCAAATTATCACTATTTGTCAACAACATGATTCTATACCTAAAACTAATAAATGAATTCAGCAAAGTTGCAGGCTATAAAATCAATACCCATAAATCAAATGCATTTCTGTATATCAGTAACTAATCCTCTGAAAGAGAAACTAAGAAAACAATCCCATTTACAATGCAAATGAAAACTACTCATTTCACTACAGTCAGAATGGCAGTTATTAAAATACAAGCAACAGTAAGTGTTGGCAAGGATGTGAGGAAAAAGGCACATCACATTCTACATTGATGGTGGAACTGCAAATTAGTACAACCAATCTAAAAAGCAGTATGGAGATGCCCTAAAAAAAAACCCTGAAATGGAACAACCATTTAACCCAGCTATCCCACCCCTTGCTCTATACCTAAAGGGCTTAAAAACAGCATACTACAGTGATGCAGCCACATCAATGTTTAGCAGCACAATTCACAATACACAAACTATGGAAGCAACCTAGATGTCCCTCAGTAGATGAATTGATAAAGAAACTCTGGTATAAATGTACACAATGGAATATTACTCAGCATTAAAAGAGAATAAAATAATGGCATTTGCAGATAAATGGATGGAGTTGGAGAATATTATGCCAAGTGAAGTAAGCCAATCCCAGAAAACCAAAGGCTGAATGTTTTCTCTGATAAGTGGATGCTGATCCATAATGGGGGTGGGAGTGGGGAGCACGGGAGGAATGCAGGAACTTTGATAGGG